ACCGTTTTTCTTTTTCGAAATAAGTATTTTATCTTGTGCTGGTGGTCCAACATATTTATGTGCTTGCATGGTTGCAGATTATAATATTTTATGAATGTTTTCCGAAGTTATAAACGTTGGTTGATCATTTATGATATGAATTTTTTCAGCGTCTGGACTACCTACGGGGACTTATTGCTCAGGTGGTCAATAGGGTATGCGTGTTGAAGTCGACGCTCGCTTCTCAACTTCCTTCCGGTCGTCAAGAGTATGTACCGCGCTGTTTTTATAATTTGCACGCATGTCGGGGACTGGCCTCTCTCGTGGTGCGCATCGTGTGTACAGACGCGATTTCGGCCGAACACTGCTGGGAGCCGTACGACCTCGCAAAGCACAACATCGAGCGGTACGCATTTACTCTGTGCACAGCATTCGTCAATATACAGTTACAAAGTTTCAGTTGGTTATTGCTTTACGTCTGATGGCAACGTTATTAGAGTATCATCTTTTATAAAAACCGGAAAATTGTTATATCTGCAACCTGATTTTAAGAGGGAACCACTTTAGAAAATTGGCAAAATATAATTACCATCTTTGGCCCTTGCAGTTGTCATTCAGTTGGATCCACAGAGGGTCGATCATTCGTTGGATTCCCAAGATGGAACATTATTCGACGAGTGTTATTTTAGCTCTTATCCCTCTGAAAACTTTTCTCTATCTAAACGGTTGTATGGTGTTACTCAGTCAGTAGGCATCGGACTTCAACCGAAAGATCGTGATTTCCAACCCCGCTCGAGTCACTCGCCTGCAATTCTTCAGTGAGTGCCAGTTGTGGAAAGGGAAGGTTATGGTTACACTTTGTACTTGCCATATAGCTCTAGATATGGCGTATTCCAAAATAAATCAATCCTGAACGAAAAGTTCTGTAACACAAATGGCGCAACAGGGTATGCTCATTGTAAAAGTGTATAAGAGACCGACATCCCAGTGGTTACGAATTTTTTCTCGTCTAATCGTGCTTTAAGTAAGCCCGGCAAGTTGAAAATCTCAGACAGTGAAGTCATTGTATGAAGCTGTACAGAGATCTTCTAATCTTTATGTTCATTCAGTTATGAATGATTTTCATAGTAGCTTTAGGCTTCCAGTATTTTTGATTCTTTCGGTGACATTCGTGTTCCCCGGTAACGGAACGGGGCTTGTAATTTTTTTCTGCGTTCAAGAATGATACTCAGTCCTTTCTTTGATGTCCGGTAGTTTGGAGTAGAAAGATTGAGCAGTCATTCCGGTGGAGGGAGGTGAATTTAAATCTTTATAATTTTCAGATGATTGTCCATACTCAGCATTTGAATACTTTCATTCATGCTGCATGTCAATTGGACAGCTCTTTATTAAGCTTTTGAGTTTCGAAGATTTGCATTTGATTTATTTTATGATCCCATCATGGCTGTGTCGACCACATTATGCCCCCTTATATTCCTGGGATGTGAGTTAAAGAACACAACGTGTATATGGCGTTGCCGGATGATCTGAGAGAAACATATCAATGCATTGATGACCAATGATCATGAAGAGTTGCTAGCCGTGATATGGCTACAGGTGTCCTTGACAAAGGCAGGCGGAAGAACAGTGTAGCGTGGAAACGGCTCCACTGATGCTTTTAACTGCGCTTTCTTTCGCTAATCATAGAGAGAGAAATTAATTACACTGAGATACTCGGAAAACTGTAATGAATGCGATCGGCGGTATCACTGAAAACCTCTGTCACTCTTTTTGCCATTGTTGAAGGCCATAATTCACTGGCGTAACGATCCTATTGCCGATATCATGTGTTTGATTATGGTGGTCAGTAGATGATGCCAGTAAATTAGTACAAATCATGCGACCACGAATTTGAATTTATTTATATAATTCGCAGGAGTCTATCTCTGCTTTGTATTTCATTTGCCTCATCTGTTGCCCGTGGCTGAATCTGATCCTGTTAAATATCCTTTGACTGATGATAGCTGTTTTCATTTAATTATCTCATCGTCCTTCACAATCTCGCACGGATACATGAGCATTATTTTGCTATTTTCTTGTTAGGGTTAATATCCATAATTCCACTGAATCATATTACAGAGCCACTTTATTTCTAGATTGCTTGGGGACAGTGTACGTAAGATGGGGCTCCGTGGTGTTTAAAACCTGCAGCTAAAGGAGTACCGCCTGGACTCATCAACGATGTGTCGGAAGGAAGGTTCAC